AATTTTCTAATTTTGTAAATTCTGTTCGCTTACTTCTCAGGGTTTGGTGCGTGAAGTTGGTGCTGTTTTGTTAATTTAAAAGTTCCCGTGTCGCTATATACGATTAACCGACCACTACATCTCTTATATCGTCGATTACAAATATAGTAATCAGTGGAACCCTTTGAGTTATTTTTTTCATACAAATAGCCGTCCCAGGAAGCTAAATCTTTTTGTTTAGTGATTTTAATATATGATAACTTGCTCAGTGGGAGAGACATCGTTGCACGAGCTAAGTGTAAATGGTGACTGGTTTGAGGATGAATAGTAGGTATTGATGTTGGGCTACAATTATGCAATGTGTAATTATGCAAAATCGAGTTTCCCATAATTGACAATTATGTAAAATAGTAGTTATGTAAAGTAGTACTTATGCAAAAGATTTTATGTAAAGTGACCGTACACCAATTTGCTTGTTCCTATTAAATATAATCCTGCGCTTAATTTCCGTGAATTATTTTTACAAGCCGTCACCTTATAGGTAGTTTACTGGCGTATGTAAATTAACACAGCGTGAAGTATAAAATAGAAAAAAGGGGCTTTACGAACTGCAGGGTTTAGAGGATGGATTATCGGTCGGCGTAGTCATAGAGGATGACCAACTATTTATCACTTTTGCATACCCATAATTTCTACATAGCAAATGTGTAATTAAATAATGGAAGTATTTAGGCAGACAGCATTCTGTCAGTTATGTAACCAATTTTTTTGAATCATTTATTTACCATATTGGTCTAGATTCGTTAAACCAAGGCGTCCCAAGATATGAATGGCGCGCTGCAAAACTAAAAATATTGTACATTGCAACATATCAGTTAAACTTGGCAAATTAACAACGAAACTTAATCTTTTCAAACATCTTTTCTGCACGAAAATTATCCATACAAATGCAATTTTTTCAGTTAAATGTAAACTTCAATCTGTAATAGTGTTACTCAAAGAATCGGGATTTTTCTCGGGTTTTGGTATCGGGCCCAAGTTCTGGTACAAAATTTCAAACCATAATTTTCCATACATATGTAATTTTTAGGGGCAATGAGATGCTGAACAAAAAGTTTTTTTTATGCATATTGCGATATTGCGGTGTAAATTTTAACTTCATTAATGGTATTCAAGGTAACGGATTATAGACATCAGGACGATTATAAATCCAATTAGTTTTAATCATTTTCTATGCCCTAGTTCATTTAACCGATTACAGGGAAATAGTTTGATAGTCTTAATACTATCAAACGATTTCTAATTACATTTTAAACCATTATTAATAGGATGTAATTTATTTTGTAGGTACATTTTGGCCGGACAGTTTTGAACTTTACAATTGTAATAAGTCTTCTTTCCATCATTTCTGTGAACAGAGTATCCGTATATGAACAGATCTCCATCTTTTATCTTGTCTTTTGCATTTTGAAAATCCGGATAAGTTTCCTTGTGAAGCCATATTTGAAGTTTGTACGTTTTTCGTCGCTTTATGGGTGGAGTATTGTCTTCTTCACTTTCACTGCCAGACGAATAGTTTTGTAATGTTTCTAAATTTTGAAAATTCATGGCCGAATTGTATTTGCTGCAGCTGCAGTTACGAAAGGGGCGTTATTTGTTTTTACAAAGTGGAGAGTGGAGGTGATGAAATATATAGTTCAGCATATATGGCTCATTAAATTTAAGATATGGTAATGAAAATAGGAAGATCAGGCTTATTCAGATAAGTTTCATTCAAATAAAAAGATCAGGGAAATTAAAATAAAAAGCAGGTGCATTAATAATTGCCCTTAAAAAATTACATATTTAGGGTGTCACACTCCTCCAGCAAAGGTACAAATAGTCTTTCATCCTATATTTATTAATATCTTGGGTACATTCCTCCCAGTATGAGTCCGCCACAATCTCATTATCTTTTCTCACCAAGGCCACTTCAATTATTTTTTCCTTATGCGAGATGTCCCTGATAACTCGTAGATAGCGAAAAAGTCCGCCTGCCCCCTTTGCCAGGTTTTTCGAGACCTGATCCTCCTTTTCTTGCACATCTATCCGGAGTGAGGTTACCCCCTCGTCTAACCGACTGCTCCACTCGGGGACAAGCCAGACATAGTCGCCACCAAAACCTGCATTAATGTCGGCCGTCTTTCCGGTCACTTCGGCAATATTGTCTGGCGGTATCTGACTGCTCTCATTCCCGTAAATAATATCAATCCCAGAGAGAAAGTTTCTGTTATTAGTGTAAACCCAATTTGTAAAGTAGGGTGATCTTCTGTTCCGATTCAGTAACTGAGGTTGATTTATGAACGAAAATATAGTTTGGTCAGGGTAACGCGTAATTTACAGTGCGAAATTAATTTTCATTGTCCCTATCCTCTAATGTGTTTCTATAACGTGGAAGGATAGGGAAAATGAAAATTAATTTCGGACTATAAATTAGGCGTAAACGATGGTAACCTCTGGATTTACTTGATTATTATATGTACGCTGAAGTTTCTCAGACTGACGACGTATGAATTTTGGTTTTAGACCAAAAACATAACTTGCACAAGATACGGACACCATTAAAAATATGACTTTAAATGCCATCTTCTCGATTTATCTGGTGACGAATATTATTAATAAGTACAATGATACGTGTGCACGCACAATTTAGATATTCCTCAAATCGTATCGACTAAATATACACTGATTATTAGTCTTTAAAAACAGCAAGATTTTAAATATATTTCATGTAAGAAATGTTTTCAGTTAGGTTTCTGCTTAACTATTTCGCTCTGTTATACATAGATATGTATAAGGACTTGATGGATGATTACTAACTTTTTCTTCTCAAGAACTTAAATCACTTTGCTAATTATAATTCAAGATATTTGTATAATTGCCAGCCGAAATATTGTTTACTGCAAGATCTGAAATGTATAATGTGTTTTTAAAATGGAAATTTGAAATAATTGCCACACTAGGCAAATTACACATATAATTACCTATTTAATATATAATTACCTATGACAATTGTTTTATGTAGAGGAAGAGTAGCAAAGAGGTACATAATTCAAATAGAACGCTTCATTTTAAATCCATGTTTTTAAGTATTTTCGGTCTAGCAACAGGCCAAAGGTAAAGCTGTGTACGGTAAGTGAATTACTGAAAGGCATAATTTGTGTCTTATAATTTGTATCGTCCAACTCATGCATGCAACGTTTGATTCACAAGATGGGAATATAAACATTTTAAATTATTCGCAATTAAACTTGCCACTTGTTTACAGTGTAATTGTTTCACATGCATATTCATCGTACTTCGCGTACATACATACTTCCATAGGTTTCAGTTAGACTCAAAGTATATGTACGATATGATTGTGAATTTTAGTAATAATAAACCTTTCTTTAGATATGTGTATGTATGCATCTATGTATATTGGGTTACCATTATGTACATACATATACACTTAAGCACTTGCTAGATAACAAAAGTACATAATTGCGGACCACAAATTTCTAAGTATTTACATATGTAGTTTATTCAGCCTGTATTATACATATTCCACTAACCTTAGCGTCATACATTTCCTGCAAAAATAATCCAGTCTTTCTTAAACACCATGCGGGGTGACTACATATTTCGCTATATATGTACAACGTGATAAATGCAAAATTTGACACCATCTATTGCTTACCTGATGTATGTAAATTAGAGTCAACATGATTTACAAATTTAAACCAATTGTCTCAAGTTTACATACAGTAAGAGTACACAAAGGAATTAGCCCCAAACTTGACTTTGCCTAATTTACCCAATACTTCAAACAAGTAGGTATTTGTTAGTCACACCACTTTTCCATATATAAGAATTTACAAGTGAGAAATGTACCTTGATTTTGACTTGATTTTGAGCATTATATTTTTGCATAACTTTATCATGCACACATATGTATCTAAATAAATGCAACCTGCCTGACTAGTCTCTTACCCGGGTTTTTATTAATCTGTATTTTCAGAATGTTTTACTTTACCCGAACTGTCCCATATATGTAAGTGAGCTTTTCTGTTTGGACGGTATGGCGATTTACATACTTACTTTCACCAACAAGCTAACATCCCACATGTTCTGCAAACAATTCCTCCAGTAGTAGCAGAATGTGTGTGCGTATTATCTAAAAAAAAATATGAATAACATTATCGGAATATTGCGAAGTAAATAAATAAATAAAATAATTCGGAATGTGCTATGCACTTTTGAAACCGTTGAAAGCGATAAATTTAGGCCTTAACTCCTTTTTACGGCCGGAGAGAAACTTAAAGGAACCTTGGTGTATGAGGGAGGAATTTTTTAAACATGGCAGGAATATGAGACCCAAAATCGCTCAATTCTACCTTCCTAATTCACGTATTTTATAAACGTTCAAATCTTCACTATATATCTTCGGTGGTGCTTGGGAAAACGGTCGCAAAAAAATGCCAGGTTTCAAGTTTGCTATTGAACAACCCCAGCATCTCTCTGTTATTATTATTCTCATAAGTTTATACTTATCCATAACATCTAAAACTGAACAAAATTGGGATTTGATTTGCCCTGTTGGTCTAGTGCTTTGAGGGTCGGACTATCACCACGCAGTTCGTACGTTCGAATCCTGGGCCAGGGAAACTTAATTAATCCTACTCGGCTCGGTGTTAGTACGGGTTGGGTGCTCCCAAGGGTCCGTTATCGGCTAAAAGAGGGTGCGGAGCCTTGCTTGCGCAATAGAGTTCGTTCTCTATATGCAAAGGAACTTGTGATAGACCAATCATTCAATTGTACTGAACTAGGAATTCCTACTCTTCGGGGTAACAGACCAAAGAAACAAACAAAAAAACCGGATTTTGGTGAAATTTGGCACCGATTATGCTTTCACAATAAATGGAGTCGACTTGACCTGCGACTTAGCGATTCATTGATTTTTCCAAAAGTTGTGAGCAAAAAAAAACAAAAAAGTGCCCTCCTTCACATATTTAAATTTATTTATTCGATCAAACAACGTGCATGCTATATTGGACTCATCAGAATCATTAAAGACAAGATTAGAAAGACATGAAATTCTCCTTATAATTTTAAATCTTCCAATTAGTTCAACACTGTAATGGTTCTCTCCAGATTTCCAACTTGTAGCTGCCATTCCCCACTCACAACTTCAAACTCGCCGGCATCATTGGCCAAAAGGAAATGGTTTCGATTCAGGCAGAGACTGATTTGCCTCACCATGTTTGGCAAAATATAGTCTAGCTTTTCAAAATCGAGCAGGCTTTTTATTGGTCTTCCCATTTGACCAGCACTAGGTGGTGATACAAACCAAAGGACTGAATGCTCCGCACCCCGTGCCCCAATATTCCGGACAGACAGGTTAATAATCAAGGCGCAATCTTGATCTAAGGCATTTTGCGAGATCGTTTTCAATACAAAGGCTGGCGGGTTCAGAATTGTATACTCGAATGCGGTGTAGGACAACCCAAAGCCGAATGGGTAGACGGGTTGGCCAGTATAGAAACGGTACGTCCTCCCCAACGAGCCAGCATGAGGTCGCATGTTCATATCATACTTTTCAAATTCATTTATGACCTCGTTCGAATAAAATGTTTGTGCCAGCCGTCCGGAAGGATTGTATTCTCCAAAGATGACCTCAGCAATAGCCTCACCGCCTGATTGGCCAAGATAACCTGCCCAGATGATGGCACCCACCCTTGGGTCATCCTTCCACTCGGATAAATCTACAACACCTCCAGAGACCACGACGAGGACGACAGGTTCCGTGGAAGCGGTCAGTACTACCCGAATCAGATCAGATTGCAAACCTGGGAGAGTTAGGTTAGCTCGATCGTGTTCTTCGTACTCCACACCATTATGTCCTCCAGCAATGCCAACGAAAAGTATAACGGGTAGGGATACGCGAGCCAGGGCAGCGGCCTCCTCCAACCTAAGATTGTCAAAGGATACAAGATCACAACCGAACTCATATTGTACGGATGGGACTCTAAGGCGGATTTCTTCCAGAGGGGTTTTGATAGGACGGAACACCGTAATAGTTGGCTAGAAAAGCCATCGATGCATTCAAGTGGGGTCCTATTAATGCTATTGTCGCTTGTTTATCTTGTGGATTGTTTGGCTCAAGGGGTAGCCTTGTTTGGGTAGTTTTTCCGGTTGGGGAGTTTTTCAAGAGTACAATACTTTGTCGTGCAGCGGTTAATGAAAGCTCTCGATGAGGCTCGCTATCAACAATTTCGGGCAGCAGGTCAGTGAACGGGCGAGTAACGTTCTTCTCAAAGTAGCGAAGCCGCATTAGAACCCCGAAGGCGTGTTCGAGAGCCAAGTCCAACATGCCCTGATTTACTAAATCTTCATTTAGTGCTTCTTGTAAGTAACTGGAGTAGTAACTGGTATTGGATACAAAACATTCAACGTCCACCCCTGCATCCAGCACAGCAGCGACAGATTGGCTGGGGAATTCGGTATAGTTGTGTCGGGTGTGGACGTAACTCACCGCTCCACAATCTGAAACAACGTACCCGGAAAAGCCCCACTCCTGTCGGATGGTTCCAGTCAGCATCCCCTTGTCGGCACAGGCAGGTACGCCATTAACTGCGTTATAGGCACACATAATGCAGCTCACATCCGACTGTGTGATTAATTCAGAGAGAAACATTAATCAGAACGATACTAGTTTTTCAATCCAATACAAGGAACAAAAATACCGAGTCTAAAAGCTCGCTTAGAATGGATAATATAATTTATGTAGGTACCTCTTGGACGCAACTTTTAAATACTGGCATGTAAGTGTCCGCCATGTCCTGCTCGTTGACGACGGCATTAAATGTAAATCTGTCGTTTTCCAAGCTGTGAGCAGAGAAGTGTTTACAGCAGGCGGAGTTTTTGAGAAATCCATTAGCTTGATCACCCTGTAAACCGAGGACAATTCCCTTTGCAAACTCTATGCTTAGACGGGGATCTTCACCCGGAGTCTCGTGACCACGGCCCCATCGTGGATCCCGATAAATGTTGCTGTTCGGAGACCAGTAAGTCAGCCCACCGTTTCCCACGTTGAAGAAAGCTCTGTTATCAAATATAACGTTGTAATAGATTAGGTATAAAATGGTGTGAAAAACGTTTACAATCTATTAGAAATTCAGTATTAACTCAATAGCAAACCGTTTTGATATAGGTATATGTATTTGAGTTTATGAAAATCGTGTTGTTAAGGAACACCGTACGGTACTTAGTTGGTGTTAAAGTTCTGCCATATCAGCAAATATTTTTAGCAAATGGTATACATAATTTTAATACCAAGTGGTAAAAAATGCAATACCACGAAATCAATACCCGTCTGACTATGCTAGACTTCTTAGTGCATCTTGACCCGAAAATATTTTTTATGATGTATCCTAAAAGTACGTAACTATAGTAAAAAATTTTAAAGTTCGACGCTTTTTTCCATAAGCAATGCATACAAAAAAAGGTCTAATATTAAGATTTTGATTCATAGAGTCAAAGAAAGTACATATTTGAATTCAGCATGAAATTCTAAAAAATTTTCATGTTTGACTTGGATTTTCCATGGTCAAATTTTTAAAATTAGATCCTTTTTTGTATGCATAGCTTATAAAAAAGGAGTCTAATTATACAATTTTTACCATAGAATGCAACTATGACGAATAAATATGGCGAATTGAACCATATAAGAATAATTTTAATTTTAACCTAGCTTCGTTCCCCGTAGCGTTTCCCACAGCCAGGAAAAGATCCTTGTTAAAAGATGAGGCCAGGTTGATGGGTTGCGGGAATACGGTAGCATACTCGGTCGGCGGTCTGAAGCGTGCCCCATACTCAGGACTTTGAGGACCACCACCGATTCCCTTAAGTCCTTCATTCCACCAGTAGTAATCATCAAGGTCAACATTCTGGGATGCCCCCTTCGCGTCATGCACCATCCATCCAATCTTTTCTTCCACAGTCAATCGACCAATTAAGTCAGCCACTCGAGCTTCAATTGATAAACTCGAGTCACAGAACGGAAGCTGGGCATTCCGAGTTTTGTCGCATTGGCTGGTGTACTGTAAAATTAAGAATAATTTTTAGTAAGCGGTATAATTAAATGTGCTAAACAACTCCATCCACCACACCTGTTGACTTAAGCAGGTTGTGAATAACCCAACAAGCACAAACGCAGTCCTGGTCCAATCTATATTACCCATGTTTCAACTTATTTTACAGTGATCCCTATTCTGCGTGTCGTTTGCGACTGGGGAAATCGGGATGAAATATACTCACTTTAACTGGGTCGAACTTATCACAATTATATTGTTCAATTGTTATCTCTTAATTTGTTTACGACTATGGTTGCACAATACGGGACCCATTACCGACCCTCATGTTTTGCGTAAGATAATGGAAATTGGAATGCATGCAGTGCCGTCTGCATTGGTCGCATGCACAAATTCAGACGGCACTGCATGCATTCCAATTTCTATTATCTTACGCAAAACATGAGGGCCGGTAATGGGTCCCGTATTGTGCAACCATAGTCGTAAACAAATTAAGAGATAACAATTGAACAATGTGATTGTGGATGATCTCAAAGCCCAATTAAACGTTTCTATGTATAGAGAAAACTTGATGTTATTCCTGTTCTGTGAGTATGATGTAGTATTTTTAAACGTTGCAAATGTGACTTTCTATAAATTACGGGCAGTCTTTATTACAACTTGAGTGCGTGGTATAAGTAGAACTTAACGCTCAATATTCATAATGTTTTCAATAAATTGGTCAGGTAGCGACCCTGGGTAACCCTACATAAAAATTAGACTTCGAGTATTATTTGTAACGCATTTTGACAATCCTGATGTTCTTAGCATATAAGTACGTCTTATTCTTAATGCTTAGCTATAAGGTAGTGATTGTTTTAGAGAATTTGGATGATTCGAGAATAAAAATTAAAAAAACTCGCTTGACACCTGGGTAGTTTACCTACTGATTAATTTATATAATTTATTTGCTCCTAAGTTTTAACTGCTGAACATTGGGTGCATGTATGTAAATAAATATGGAGATATTAATTCGCAATTGGGATCAATATATTTTTAATATATTTTAATCAAAATGTTTTGGAAAATGAGAATTTACAAAACATTTGCGTGCTCTATCTAATGCAGGAGTCCGGCCTTTCTCAGGGAGTGAAGTGCTGCCAAGTTACTCTGATAAGCAGCGTTATAATCCAACCCAACTATTAATAACAGTTTCAAATTTATTATCTCTTTTAAATACGGAAATTGGCAAAACCTTTACCTTCCGTGTGTTGCCATAACTGTCGGCTATCCTCGTAAACATCATTCGCATCCGGCCCGCCTACAATGGCACCAGTGACATCATAATAGTTGGGTTGATTTCCATTATAAAGATTCCAATCGCATACTTGTGGTCTTGGTGGGCAAGAACTACAAAAATTCAAATTTGCAACACTATTCTGTATGCTCAACAAACTCAGCCATGCATATGCACAATTATCACCTTGGTCTATGATGCGAGAATCTTGGCGGATTAATCCCAAACCCAACAACAAAGCTTCGTCCCGTGTCTCCCAAAATGTAGCCAATCTGCTGTCTAGCAAATGCCCGATAAGTTGCTGCGTTAACCCCCAAATCCGCCAGCTGGAGGCAGATGTACACCGCGTTCGAAGCATACCGAAGTGGACCCCACTCACCCAAAAAGACTAAGCCCTTGGGCGTCCTTAATGCCGTATTAACTGTATTATCACAGAATTGGATGGCTTTCGCTCTATACTTTTCCTCCCCAGTTAACCTCAATCCTAACACGAATATCCCCGCGTATTTGTCGTCCCAACTGAATTGTTGCGCATTGGAGCCTGCATATCCGAACTCATTCCATAAAATATCTGCAAACGTTCTGTACTGGGAATCGTTCGTGGCGCGGTACATCCACAACGCCCCGTAACCTAGGTCATCCCCATAGCCGGACCAAGAACTATGGTCAAAATGTTATAATTAGACGCTTTTTTCTACAATCTAAATTTAATTTTAAAATTTTGACCATAATAAATCCAACTCTTACATGAAAATGTTTCGAATTTCATGCTGAATTCAAATATGTAATTACTTTGTTTGACTCCAAAATCAAAAGTCAAAATCTTAAAATTATACACTTTTTTGTATGCATTGCTTATGGAAAACAGCGTCTAATTTTAAAATTTTAATCATCATACATATGAAAATTCACCGCAGCTATCATTTAATCTCTAATTGGTCATACATCCTTAACTTGAAGTAACTAACTTGTAAAAATCTGCCGCTTCCGGCACAGAATCGCTGTACTTTCCTCGGTACGTGTATGCAAAGTTATAAGCCTGTCTAGCATGTTGGAGCATTGTGGCCGCAAAAGCTGGATCCCTCTCCTTAAACACGAGGTACCCAGATGCAAATGCTGCCGCATATTCAGAACCCAATTCCGACCCAGGGCGTGATTCCGTAATGGTGTAGGTTGGTCTCGGGCCGTACGGCCAATCCTCCGGTCTTCCCCACCAACTATGGTCCAAGGTACCGTTCCCCATCTGGGCATGGATAGTGTTGGCTTGAGGATGCGTTTTCAGCAGGAAATTCAGCGATGTTCGGACAGTTTCCAGCGCTCCGGACAGAACGGATGCCTCATACCCGGTGGGAAAGTCGATTATACCCCAGTTTATAATGGTTGTGAAGCCGGCGTAGGGAAACATGAATTTCACAAAATCTCCCGCTATAAAACATTTTGTAATTAGATTTTTATTTTATAATTATGGTGTAATTTTTAAAATTAGACGCCTTTTTCTATATGAAATGCATACAAAAAAGGATCTAATTTTAAAATTTTGACCATAGGAAATCCAAGTCAAACATGAAAATGTTCAGAGTTTAATGCTGAATTTAAATATGTACTTAATTTGACTCGATGGGTCAAAATCTTAAAATTATACCCTTCTTTGTATGCATTGCTTATAGAAAATAGCATCTAATTTTAAAATTTTTACCATAACTATTGTCAAAAATTTACCATCAAAATGACCACCAGAAAGATCTACTCCGATATCTTGTCCATCGTCGAGGAATGTATCCCCTCGCCAAGGAACGTCATTATCAGGGAGTCGCCCTTGCCGTTGGATTTTATAGAATGTGTTTGACAGACCAATCAACGAAGTGTAGTCGTAATCAATTTGCCCCAGACATGCGTGTGTGAGGGCACCCAGTAGTAGCAAAACGAGAAGGGATGCCATTATCCGAAGATGGATGGTTGACCAAGCGATCCAGAAATGAAACTGGCACAAGCGTAGCACAACTTTATAGTTTATAGGACAAGCAATCGCGCAAATAAAAAAAATCAGATTATCAGGTTTGACACTGACAAGCGAGTGGACAACGAATGGTTTGACTGTGTGCACACAACAAAAGAATTTGTATCGTGCTCGTATACATTATTACAATTATTTATGACGTGACAGTCATGTTGACAGGTGATGTTGCTAAAATGTGCACTGTTTCACACGGTGCACATTTTTGTGCAAAACGTGTGCAAAATATGCACGAATAATGTTAGTGTTTCATTTAATCATTTCTATTCATATAGTGATGTTTACTTGTGAAGTTGTTGTTTTGAGTAGCTGATCATGATCAGAGGTCAGATATAAATGAACGAAATTACTGCTAAACTAGGAATGCCTCTAATATCCATCAAACCGTTAAAATTTGACTTAAGTTGACTTTATAATTTCATATCTATGTTGAAAATTCTAAAATTTGACGTTTTTTTCCATAAGCAATGCATATAAAAAATTGTCTAATTTTAAGATTTTGACTCATAGAGTCAAACTAATGACATATTTGAATTTAGCATGAAATTCTGAACATTTTCATGTTCGACTTGGATTTCCCATGGTCAAAATTATAAAATCAGATCCTTTTTGTATTCATTGCTTATAGAAAAAAGCGTCTAATTTTAAAATTTTGACCATAGTTCTTCATTTAATCATTTCTATTCATAGAGTGATGACTTGTGAAGTTGTTGTTCTGGTTGATTATGACCAGAGGCCGGTTATAAACGAGCGAAATAACTCCTAAAATGTGAATGTCTTTAAATTGTAATGGTTTGATGGGCATACGAGGGGAAATCAATAAGTAATTCGAATATTAGTTTAGCCTGACCATAAAAGTGATTAATTTCAATTCACTGTGTGGCTTTTAAACATAATACCCTCAAAATTCAATACCACTTTCACCTTTTTTGATAAGTTGTTTCGTTCCTTCAAAAATAATTTTGTGACACTGTTCCGCAAAAAATGCACACACGAGATAAGCTCGTCATCAGTCTCAAATCTCCTCCCCCTGATTATTTTCTTAATATGTGGGAGTCGATAAAAGTAATAGGGTGTCAGGTCGGTAGAATATGGTGGGTGGTCAATTAACCAGTATGCAGATCGGTTCAGGACAGTTTGATTATCTTACGAGGAAAACCTTTTTGGTGCCATGAGTTCACAGCATAACCACTATGTACATTCGACGTATTTTTTAATACTAGTCCGATGATGTGACAAAATTTACGTGTTAAAATGACATTTGGTCACGTGGTGACGACTTTTCTGACGCGCGGAATGGTCACTTTCGCCCATGGGGAAAATCTTAGGTTTGTATCTTATCTTTGAAGGGTAAATTCGCAGTGCTTATTGATTTCCCCTCGTATATCCATCAACCCGCTAAAATTTTACCTAAGATGACTTTATAATTTCATATGCAGTTTATTATAAAGTGTGGTGTGGTTCACCGGTTTTGAATCCTCTAATTCCCAGCAAGTTTCGGGATAACAAATCGATAGTCATATTTCATTAATAACCAGCCTCTGATCATGATCAATCAATGCTTACCTTGTAAACAAAGTGTCATCATTTAAAAAACTGTGATATTTACTTGATTGATGACCATTTGGGCCACTCTAAATTCTGTGTAGTATAGTGTCATGTGCTTTTGATAGTATAAATATAACTGACAACATTTAATCAGCAACTCATTTAAAATTTATCAATGTTGTAAAAAAACTGAATCTTTCCCCGCAGTCCAATTACCCAATTCTGAATACACGGGTGATAATAAAAGAAGCATTTTTCGCCAAATTGATTGTTAATTTGATTAAATTGTTTCTCTATCTTCTATTTATTAAAATTTATGCTAAATTCCGAGTGATAATTAATAAGAATGATTATTATTACTGATAGAGAATACAATACAATAAAATTTTTAATTTTATAACACTATGGCAAAGCGAAACTAACAAAAATCTCCCCACAAAGCATACATTTATAAGAAGTCTATATGGTTTGTATATTTAAATTTTTCAATGAGCAATATTCCAATGAAATAAAGCAAAAAGAAGTATTTTCTCTATAATGTACAGTTCAGATTTAGGCAATAAAAAATTAACATTTACAATGTTTGCGCCTCTGGGAAACATTATATAAAAAAAGTTAATCATCTACTTATTGCCCGCAAATAGGTAGCGGATCTAATGGTACTTACCGTTAGATCCGCTACGATAGCATGCACCCTTAACATATGAGAAGATATTTAGTGACCCTTACTTTGCAGCCCTAAGACCATGGGACACGGGAAGAAAAAAGGTGAGTAGGTCAATACATAAAATAAATTTCGAAAACCGTAGGCGTGCCTTGCAATTTGGTAAGGCTCCTCATGCTTTTTACGGCATCCTCCTATGTCATAAGGCCATACCACACGGACCATACCCTTCCATGTGCATGAAACTAAATGGGGAAAAGTAGGGAAAGTATGTGAAAGTGAAAGTGCTTTCACGACCGAGTCAATCCTCTCCTCGTCCACCATACATACATAAAATACAACCATGATCGATTTTCTCCACTTTCACATTATCCTTCAGAAGGACGCAGCTGTTATTTTTCTACCTTTGCAACAATGGGAGATAGTAAATATAACGTGGTGTCGAAATTTGTAGCTATCTTGGATTTGGTAAATAATTCGTTCCACTAAATATTCATTATTAACCGTCACTTACTAATTTAAGATTGTCGTACAAATTAAAAAAAGGGAAACAAAGTAACACTCTTTTTTGTAATTTTAAAAAGAGTAAACTTCTTACAAAACACTAAATATTTTTTAAATTAACACAAAACTATACTTTGTTTTTTTTTAAGTGGTTTACATATTTTACAATATGTAATTTTCATAGTTGCTCTCAATCGCAATTCTTCTTTGGATTGGGTGGAACATTTTCCTTGGGGATGAATTTTTAAGCTTGCCAAGTGACGGGAAAAAGAAGAAGGAACAGACAGATAAGATTCCAAGTTGGTAGATGTAATGCAATATTTACATAATTTTGTGGAGCTTAATAATTTAATACTTTTTCAGTGGTGGTAATTCCAATGTTATCCTTGCTTATTGGTGGGCTGGGTGTTATCTTTGCTATAAAACTTCTTAATGCGACAGACTCAGAGGTATGTATGTAAGTATGTGGCATCAAATAGTTGATGCCATAAATTGGAGTTTCTTGGGATAACATTGAGTATTAAATATACAAATTTTAATGGATAATACATATGTACACATTTCTGGTGCAGGTCAGCGGTGCTATGACACAAATTCACAAACGTGGAACGATTCGGAATTGGATTAAAGTTTCAATATGTATATGTATCTGTATATTGATTCTGGTTACAATAATTGCTATGATTTCTGGGGGGTTAAGTCCAACCATTGTTGGAGGTTCTGTGGTTGCTGTATTATTTAAAGTATTTGGGATTTCGGTAGTCTATTTATTTTACAAGGATTTAGAAATAAATAGTGATATTGAAGGGGTCGAGTGATAAAATAAATGTTTGGAAAATCCAAAAAGTTTCCGGAATGTTATTATTTATTTTCAGCATTTGTGTATTTTTAAAAATGTAAAGATTTTAATTTTCAAGAAATTAGCTAAATGTGTTTACAAAGAAGCTGAACAAGTTGTGATGCCCCCAATATCAAAGTCCAATAGAAATATATGTTGTTGTAGGTGACCCTGAATTTCGTGATGTCACTAAATCAAGGGGGCTGTTGTGTTCGGAACGGTGCAGAAATTTATGACATTTTCATGCAAGAAAAATATTCGCACATATTTATGTACAAAAATATCTATAATGTTCCAAAACAACCAAGAAGCACATATTTGCATATGACACGGCACATATTATGTTGAACCTTTCTTTTTTATCTGATCCACGTTTTTGGCAACTTCGATAAGACGCATAACTCACGACAAAGTATGCAGCTAAATATACCTCAAAAAATGAATCAGCCACCTCACATTAAATATTCACGTGTGACGACATCCTATGCAAAGTTGGGACAGGATGTCGTTTCATCTCATCATACAGTATTACTTACGATACGAGTTTACTATTGGATTTGGAAGAATATTCCAGATAAAATGTTGTGGATTCAGTTTTTATCAGTATCATTTTGAAAACACGGGTCCATTTTCTAATTTGGAATGCAACCAGAATAGTGTGGGATAGGAATGAGGGGATTTTTTATGCCGGAATGACTGCAGTTTGTTATTTATCTTTCTCTGCTTAACAACTCCACATCTGCTCAGTACAAAGTCGGAAACCTGTGTGTACACAACACGTACATATGTACGTTTAATTCCTGCTTTTTTCGCAAATCTAAATACAAATTACTACGAATTACTATGTCCACATCCCCTTACCTCACCCCAGAAGGCCCCGTTCCAAGGGAGAGGAGGCGATCAACATCTACAATTTCCAGTGGACTTGCGGAAGTAACGTTTGGAAAGGACAAATTCATGGTGAGGGTTTAGCAGTAAATTTTATCTTCTCTTATGATTTGTAGAATTTTATGTTTCCGACTAGTTTTTAATGAAAAGTGAAAGATTGGGGAAATTTGAGAAATCGAAATGTTGGAAATTGCTGGTGTATGTACATACATCAAATTTTCTCGTTTTTTTGAAAACATGAAAAATTGTCAATCCTTCAATTTTTCCGTCATTCTTGAATGAAATTCCTGATTGAAATTCTCTTTGGAAATGGCGATGACACCCCTGCATTTCTTACGTGTACTACTTTCATTCTACTTTCAGGTGGAGCTCAGTGTCGAGAATTACACACCGGACGAGGTTTCTATTTACTGTGAAGATGGGAAATTATTTGTGGTTGGGAAAAATGAGAAGAGAAATCATCCAAAAGATACCATTCTCAAGTCCTTCAATCGTAAATTTAACATACCCGATGGAATGGACGGAGCTGGGTTAAAGTGGGAGGTGAGCAAGGATAAAGTCTTGTCAATTACAGTACCAAGGAAACAAAGTGAAAAAACGTAGTTATACTTATTACCCGTGATTGATCAGAGGAGGATGTTGATTTATCAATTTATTTGAAATAATGTTTAATGTAGGAACAATTTATTGAAGGAAATACATAAAATAAGGATACAATTCACATAGTGGTACTTATTACTATTTCAACTTAGTCTTTCTAATAATGTACTTATACTAAACATAAATAAATATGTGAATAAATAAACATAAACAGTGAATTATAATTAGATATGACATGTTACAAAGTTTGTAGGGATTTGTTTACAAAGAGGTGAAACACCTTTATGTCCGACCCTCTATCACCAGGGTTCGGAAAACCCCGGGATTTTTATTGAAAAACCCGTGGTTTTGGCTGGGTCTTGGAAGTTTTGAGGTTTTTGTATAATTATGGGGTGAGCTGAAACAACTTATTTAATTTTCATATTACAGCACAACTAATCAAATATTCTTATTTAGCATGACTTCTGAACATTTTCATGTATAAAATAAATATGTGTGCAAAACTCATCTGTATAAATAATTAAAATAATTTTATTTCTTGCTTAAGGATGCCTTAATTTGATAAAGTTATTATTAAATGTTGTACCTTGCTAAGTGGCGGATCTAATTGTAACTTAACTAAGCACTCTATCATGCACTCAATCCATTTACGGTAGCTTTTATTGTTTTCTGTTCTCAAAACACGTTTTGGTTGATGTTTAAAAAATTATGTTCTCACTTACTCTGCCTTCACTTGCGTTACCAACGGACATTCCGAATTATACATAATATAGATAACATATTTGTGATGATGCTCTAACGTGATGTTTAAGTCAGACAAAAAAATCTTTCACGAAATTCCGTTATTCTTGTTTTACCCAGTTTTAAGTAACGACATTCCAGTTAAACTGGGTGGGATATTTAACCCATAGAATTGTTGATGTACAATCGACACACCCACAGCAAAATATAACACTGGCAAAAGAAAGAATCCGCAAATCTATAGGGGTCCAATTTTTTTTTAGTAATTTCCATGAATTGATAAATCAAACAATATTATTTATGATCTCACATCTGCAGACAAATTTGTTGGAATGAGTTCATCAAAAATGGTGGCATCCTTCAAAACACTTATGACAGCTCCACTCCCGATAATAAATCCCCCAAAGATATTAATCCCGCAAATCTGTAATATTAAATTTTATTCAAAGTTAATCAAGCCAACATTATCGTAACGTTAATTATTTAGCATGTTAATTACATAAGGAACCATATATCTTGTCGAAATTGGGAACGAAAAGACAATGAAAACCAGTACGGTGTGACCCAACATAAAGGCCGAAGGGATGATAAGGCACAACTGCGATGTCCGGTAGTCATACAAATTTAAGGCTAGATTTAACAATCCTACGCTCTACATAAGTATGAGTAAATGTTAACCGGCGATATGATTGAAATAGAATTTTTTTTTAAATTTTCGTTACCATTGTTATCAAATATAGCGGACAATTTATGTTGATGGGCCAGATTTTGGTGTGGTTATATTTATCCATGGATCTGTAGGAATTTTGGAAATTAATTCTTTTGTTTTACGCAATAAAAACTGAAGCGGGGTTTGTTTGCCTAAATCGAGTTATTCTTTGTAAACATGTGAATAAATATAAAAACATATGTTATAGACATTTTAAGACGATGACTGGCAACTTGTTCAGTACTCAGCAAATGTTAGGTTGATATGGACACATGTATGCAGACATGAAATACATACATACGTATGTACATACCTACATAAGCACAAGTATACATAGATATGTATCTAGACTTTCAGACTGAACATGTTTCTCAGCATACATTAATGTACCTAAATTTGCTATATGTACATACTTATTCTACATACCTGTTATAAAAGGAGGGACATGTCGGTAAAGCAGATTTTGTGGCATAACCTCCCCAAGAGGGTGGGGATATTTATGCGTCTTTAGAGAGAAAGATGATTATTACTAAATTTAAGGGAAGTTGGGGCCAGAGTTCGCCACCGCGGGTTTTTGTGGGTTGAGGTTTTTGTGGATTGTAGTTTTTGTGGGTTTTTACAAAAATTAAAAATTACTCCGACGAAAAAAAAGTGATTTCCAAATAAAATATTACAGTGTCATATAGTTCTTATAAGTGGATAGGAAATCTGTGGCACAGATTCATGACTGTATGCTTACAATGCGAAGGTGTTAACGGCTAACCTCAGAATTCGCCCGGACCAATATTATTTGGTAGTGCAGGTCAACCTTACTAACGTTTGGTTTTGCACTTTTCTTAAAATTTTTTGAAAATTCAAAAATTTTACTGAGATTTTAATTTTTCGAAATTCAAAAGTTAAATAAAAGATAAAAACATTTCAAAATTTGACAATTTTGAAAATGCATTTTTAGAAATTCAAGTACGTAATTCTAAGAATACATGTTTTAGATTTTTTGAAATCGCCCCAAAATTCGAAAAGTTAAAGCGTTTTGAAAACCCGAGGTTTTGGCTGAAAAATGTTTAAAAAATCCCGCCACGCGGTCAAACTCGCGCATTCAGAAAAGTTCAAAACCAAACGTTAGTAACGTTGACCTGCACTACCAAATAAAATTGGTCCGGTCGAATTCTGAAGTTAGCCGTTAACACCTTCGCATTGTTAGAATTTATTTTATGGTTTATGTGCAGTTTCGTGATAGATGTTCCTGTTTTGTGGAAAAAAATGCCTTGTTTGAAAATAAGTCCAATATTTTTAATCTGCAAACCGGGAGAATAATGTTTAGTGACTTGTATCTTTTCAAAATTATAATTATGAGTTAGGTATGAGTAACAATTTATCAGAGCATTATGTAAAGTATGTATAACTTGTTTATGCGTTCGATGTATGTATGTATTGGTGGGGTGACGATACTACCATTGTTAGACAGGACCGTCAGCTGCGCAAGCACCAAAGGCTTATTGCAGTCTCCCCGTATACACCGCTTTACTGTGCTAAATCATGACTCTCACGATTTACAGATCTAACTTGATCTACAAACCGCCCTGATCTGATTATGAATTGAATTAGATCGGGCAGAGACATAGTCACTATTTGCTCTGGTGGCAACTCATGCCTCCCAAAGAGTTCTGACCTTAGGGCACAGTACTTGAAACAGGACCCAAGAAAATGAAATACAGTCTCAGGGCCACGGCCGCATAGGCACATGACCTCATCAACTAATCCCATTGTTCTGAGGTGCCCGTTTAAAGTACAGTGCCCGGTTAAAGTTTGTGCTACTGATCGCAGATTCTTTCGATTTAGGGTTAAAAGCTTACTGCTAAGCCCCGATGAAGGGGCAGAGAGAAAAGCTTTAGAAGTTAAACAACCCTTGCTGCGTTGCCAAGATTTGGTATGCTGCAATCTTGCCCAGCTTACAATGCTGGAGATTACAGTGCTTCTGTATAGAGGAATAGAGGGCTGCGGGCCAAGGTACCCAGTAAAAGTACATTCTTTGGCCAACAAGTCAGCCGCTTCATTTCCCTCAAATCCATGGTGAGAAGGGATCCAATGAAGTGTTACCTTCTTAGTTTCCCCAATATTATTAAGCATCTCAATAGCCTCAGCAGTCAGTGATGAAACTGGCCATGGGCTAGTGAGCGCTTTGATGGCACCCTGACTGTCAATGAAGAAGTCAACGGTGCTATAGTTAAGAGTATTATCGGTCAACGTTCAGAAGCCCTGATAATACCCATAATTTCTGCTTGGAAAACTGTGGGTGCCCATCCCAGAGGAATTGAGCACCTCACGGCTTCCTGGGAAAGATTATTGTATGTGAAGTAGTAAGCCGCACCCGAACACTCACCCATCCGTGAACCGTCCGTAAAACAGTTCACGTCGGAGGAATTCATGGGCACGCTACCATCCTCCCAATCTTTCACCGAGCAGATGGAAGTTACGAAGTTCCTCTCTGCTGGCGGATTAACAAGTTTCTCACACGGCATCTGGAATTCATTGATGCCAGACGCCATGATTTCGACAAACTTGTTATGCTTTAACGCCCTCGTACGATCACCCCCGGCCCATTTTTTCCATTGACCGTGGTGAGCGAGGTGATGGTACGTTCGTAGCGCAACTTGCTGTACCCGGATGTCCACTGGGACCAGCCCCAGTAGACACTCCAGGGCTGCAGTAGGAGTGCCAGACATTAAACCAGTTGTACCAAGCATGGCACACCTAGTGCTCTCAATGGTCCGGATTTTTCCGGATCAGGCGTGGACCGGAACCGGACCGTGGCCCGAAATACACAACCCGAGGCCCGGACCAAAATTTTGTTGTTGGCCCGGAACCGGGGACTGGACCGGACCGGGACCGGACCGGTGGATCCGGGCGGACCGAAATTTATTTTATCTAATTACAAATGATATAAGTATGTAGTTAAGCGAATGCACGAACTAAGTCCACAATTAGTTCAGCTTACAATTATTGTAAGCTAAACTATTCTAACCTAAACCGATGTAAGGCTTCCTACACAATCTCGAAGTAGTTTAATTACCTTTTGTAACCATTATATTCCCCGTAATCATTACTTCATCCCAATTTTTAACGGACACTTATTCCATCTGGGGTTTTCGAAATTTAAATTCACCTTACTTGCTTAGAAATATATAGTTAGCTAAAAAAATTATCGTGTAACACACGGGGACGGAGCCCCCCGTCCCCGTGTAATTGTAGCTTACATACGCACATATTTTCTAAATATCTTTCCAAACATTGCAATTTCTCACCTTCTCTATAACCCAAAATCCTTCCAAGCTAACCACCTAGCCTAGCAGACTTGAACGTTGGGAAGTTGGGAAAGTGGAGAACCTCATGGAATAATCTAAGAAATGATGTCAAAAATTGAGGCGTACTGTTATGTTTCAATCTAAACTGAACAAATATGCTGGAATAATCACCAAATAATTGTATGGCCTCTATTTTCTATGTAATGAATGATTGTATCAAGATGATCGAGTATTTCCCACCTAGTGGGGTTTGATTATCTTTTTTGTAATTATATTGATATGATATTTTGCACAATAAAGCAGCTTATAAAAATTGGGGAGTTGGAAAAATTGTGGAACTGGAGAATTGGATAATTGGGAAATTGAGTTGGAGATTTGGGAAGTTGCGGAATTTGAGAATTTGGAAATTGATATTCTATAATGCATTGCAGAGATGCGTTACCGACAGAGACAGACAGGCAGACGGAGACTGAACTATTCTTATTAGGAATGATCCCCATATATGGCTCCGTACAACTGTAACAAATTTTACATAGCTCGATTTGAAGATTTTAGAAATTCAAACGACCATCCTTACGATCGCTTTGAAGCTTTTTCTTATTTCTCTTCATTTTCGTTGATTATTACTACTAGCAGAAATAAATTGAAGGAAGGAACTAAATTTATTTTCTGTTAAAGTTATGTCGGTAGAAGAAACGCAAGTTCAATGTTGCTGTGAGAGGGCGTTTAAATTCGGGCGGACCGTGGACCGACGGTCCGGTCCGGTCCTTAGAAACTTGATCCGGAACCAGACCGAGGCTCGGACCGTAATTTTCGGTCCGGGCCAACCCGAGGACCGTTGAGAGCACAAGGCACACCTCTGTACTCTTTGCAACTGGGCCATGTGGCCCACATGGCCCAAAGCCCAAAGCCCAAAGCCCGGCTACAAAGGTGAAGTCCCACATGATGTGGGACTTCACCTTTGTAGCCGGAGCCAACAAGAGTGACCCATATTCCGTGGCCGGGCGAATTATAGCGTTCGAGTAGTGATGTTAAAAACATTGAAGTGGCGAATTGGTGGGGCAGGATTTCGATATTTATGTATGAATTCGACGTTTATGTCTGAAAATATTACCATGAAATAATGAGCTATAGTTTGAACTCGTTATTTTGGTTATACGAATTCCAGTGGCGGGGCCAGGATATTTTTGCACGTGGGCACCAATGAACTAAATTTTGAAAATTATGTCAAAATATCTAGTGTAAAGCCATAAGACTTATTGTTAAGACACAAATTTACACGTGGGCACGGGCCCACTTGTACCCACTAGTAGTGGGTACAAGTGGGCCCCTGCTAGTAGTGGGCCACTACTAGCCCCGCCACTGACGAATTCGATATTATACAACCCTACATGCCATATACATACATATTACATAAATTGGTGTCTATAGCGCAAAGGTTCTTACTTGTTCTCAATAGTTCATGCGTGCAGCTAATGAAGGTAATATACTTCCATGTGATGAATTATGATGATGTGCCCATTCGACAGGTTTCCGGAGTTTACGAAGGTAATGTAGGGTTAATCCATCATAATTTGAATTGTCTAATTCGTATTACATACATTATTCTGTATTTCCCGACGCGTGAATTTAATTTGTTTTCGTCAAAAGCATCACATATGCTCGAGGATGGGTACAATTAAATTACCTCTCACTCCTTCGCATGTATATGTATCTACCTATGTTACATATGTATGTACATATTTATATACCGAAGCTTGAAATGAAAGCTTGATGTCCAACGTGTATTTAATAAATTCCTTGCATCCATCGTGAAGGTGGAAACTTGAAACTTGTGTTTGTATATATGCTATCCTGCAGTGATGTGTGTTTGCGTAGGTAGAAATATATCAAACTACCAAAAAAAATTGTAAAATATAATTTGCTTTTCCAACCTTGAGGTGGAGTCATGTAAAGCCATAAGTTTATTTCGTAACCAAAGACGCATGTGCAAAACTGAAATAACTTTGCGATTCTTTACTTGCGAGATGAAAATATTTAATTCCACGCAATCTGGACAATTATGGTAGGAACTCTGTTAACGAATTGGTTTAAAACTTTGTTCACTATGGAAATGATTGTTCCAACGGTTTACAAATCACCTTGGACAGGGTTGTTGGAATTTGAAGGGATTCGAATATTTATGCCGTTCACCTTCTTTGGTGAAGAAAATTTGGAGTTGGATAGCGGTGATTACCTTGACGGGTATTTATTTTTCTACTATCAACTCCTTGACTTTACTCACCATATAAGATTCAATGGCCAACAAACTAACGATAAGAAAATTGCAACAAAATTATTTAAGCGGCTTCAAGTTCATTTTGGGGTGGACGATAATATGAATAACGTTCGAAATGGGACGTCTGGAACAACCGTTGGTGACTTGCAATATTACAATAGAACTACTTGGGAGGATTTCCCGATCCAGCCGGTGCTGTATAATGCTGACGGTGTCAAGGTTATAAAAAGCCTGCAGACTTGCGGAAAGGTGGCGTTGATGGATACAAAGGAGAATATCGCGGAAATTACGAATTTCTTAAATGACTATCACCAAACCGCGATGTATGTCAAGGTAGACGGCGAGTCCTTCTTTACTGAGAGAAAGCCAGACGTTAGAGGCTGGGGAATGCCTCCGATTAGAAGTGATTACGTCGAGAAGCGACTCAAAAGGCTTATCTCGTCAGGAATTGTGACCCATTTGAAAGCCATGTATAAAATGTGGAGGCCCCCAAAATTGTTAGGGTATTATGCGAATTGGACCGGTCCGAGAGTTAAGCCGGTTTCTCGACTAGATTTTAGTTCTAAGGTCACAACTGGTTTTTATATTAGTGGATGTTGCTTGATTGTTTGCATTTTTGTGTTAATTGTGGAGTTTGTGAAAGATAAATATTATAAGATGCATAATTTAGTAAATCTTTATAATTAGTTTAGAGGATCTACTATTCAGAGTTTTCTTCAAGCTGTCATAACCCACTGATAAATATGTAAAACTAAATAAATTTTGTGAATAAGAACGTACTTATATATGCAAAACACTTTGGTCCACATCTTACATCCGCTTGTTTATCCGAACACGAGCATTCCGCTGCCAAACTAGCCTTAAGCCCGCCATGTGCACCAACCACGTTACTAGTGACACAACCAGGAATCATTTTGACCCAGCGTTGTCTAATATGTAGCTTCATGGATCCACAATTTCCAAGCTTGTTCCCATTCAGACAACACAAGGTATCGGAAAACATCATGGATGCATCGCTTCCCAGTCTACCATTAAACGTTCCTAGTACGTCCTATTTCTAGAACTGTAGGTCCGAAAGACGTTTCATTATACGTTCCAGGTACCTTCTAGGTACGTTCTAGTATAATGGTTTTGTCGCCCGATATTACGTACCTGGAACGTTCTCTACAAGTCTTACAAACCGTAAATAGACGTACTGCGTACGTATAATGACCGTTAAAATTATGAATGGTGGTGGCGCTCTTCCCAACAAATACTACAGTTTTCAACTCAAAACTAATTTTCAAATTTTATTTATATCCAAAAAAAGTCAACAAAATTAGTAGTATTATAAAAGTGGATTTAACTGTCCGTCGGACTTGAGTTCCTCACGGCGTGATTTGAACACGGCTTCTAACAAAAATTAGAATTATTGTAATTAAACCGAAACCATAAAATGCTAAATTAAAGAAGCATTTTAATTACTTTCTTTTTTTCAAGGCGGGAAGGAGCTATCTGCAACCAGTATTTGATGGCATCTTCTATATCCCTTCCTTTTGCTTCCGAAATAATTGATCGTACAGCACCTAAAATATATATAACATAAGTTACAGCAGTGCATTAATTTAGATTTAAGATTTTATTAAAAGAGGGAACCTACGAATAACACTTGAAACCAAAAACGGAAGATCACAAAATGCCCTCTTTCCTTTCCTGCCAACAAAGCTGTACTTCGCCATTAGCTCGTCGGTCATTAGGCAAGTTAACACCCGATGCGTAGCCTCAGTAAGCCTTTCACCACCAACACTAGCAAGTTCAAAAACCTACACAAAATTTGATTTATTTTCATTCATCGTAACAGCTAGGGAACCATCGGACGGCTTGGACTTTTTCTCTCCCAATTTCAGCTCACTTTCCAAACCGATGAGCTCATCCACATTAGAAATAGGCAGGTCAAATAGCGCACTTTTGATAACGACTCTATGATTTTGATTGGCCTGTCGATTCATCAAAATTTGCATCGAATCTTGTAGATTAGCGACAGCCGCAACGAGCAGGTCCAGTTTATTGATGACTGAGTTTTCAAACTCTGAAAAATATAAATTATTCTATACATAATTCATACTTCTAAACGAATAATTATAATAATTATCACAACCAGAATACACAGTGGAGTCTGCTTTTTTGACTCCCACACCGTCGACTCTATGACACTCTGCTCTTTCACGCTTCTCACTTTTTCACTCGCGTGACTTGCATCCCTCCTTCTCTTGCGTACCATTTCACGAGGGTCGTGCATGCTTAATGTGACCTACATTTAGTGTGCCCTTAATATTGTAATTCTGACCTTTATTTATTAAGTTTGAAAAAAATTGGTATACCACTAAACAATTAATTTTTCAATGTCTCAATGGATTTTCCTAATTATTTTAATTAATTAAACTAAATATTGTCGCAAATATTCCAACTAAATTTGGAACCGCGCTACTCATGGTTCACGTGGAATAAAATTCAAAAGATTTGCAAATATGTAAAATTGGGCCAATCACTAAATATTTAATATCTCAAAATCTAATGCAAGGATTTTTCTGATTGTAGCCTTATTTTGTAGAGTAATTAGTAGAGAAAATATTCCAGCTAAATTTGGAACCGCCCTACTCAATGTTCACGTGGAATAAAATTCAAAAGACTGGGTAATGTTGTCGAAATTTAAAAAGGTGGGGAGTTGAGACAGTGTGCTTCATCTTTGCCGGGAGTTTTTTTCTTTCCCTCAGTTGGATCTGAACGACAGACCAACAACAACACTCTCCAAAATCCTCCAAGTTTCACGCCCTCCTACTCCTCCCATTCCACACAACTTTACCACACCCAACAGATACACATACACATTCCTCACCACAACATCACATACATATTTACAACACAATACACACATACACATTTACATATACACATCTACAACACAAAATACATACAAAGCTGGCCAAAGAGCCGAAATAAAGGCCAAAGAGCCGTAATAAAGGCCAAAGCGCCGTAATAAAGGCCAAAGAGCCGTAGAAAAGGCCAAAGCGCCGTAAAAAAGGCCAAAGCGCCGTAATAAAGGCCAAAGAGCCGTAATAAAGGCCAAAGAGCCGTAATAAAGGCCAAAGAGCCGTAGAAAAGGCCAAAGCGCCGTAAAAAAGGCCAAAGAGCCGTAATAAAGGCCAAAGAGCCGTAGAAAAGGCCAAAGCGTCGTAAAAAAGGCTAAAGAGCTGTCAGAAAGGCCAAAGTGGAATTTATTAAATCATGGTGAGACAGAAGCAGCAATTAAATGCTCGAGCTGAACCCGATCAAGAATTGGAATCTGAGCCCAACAGGGCACGACGACCAGGTGAAACAGAAGCGCAGGCATTAAAGATACGCCGCCTTGACGCCCAACGTGGTTCAAGAAACAGACAAATGGAAACGGTAGAGAACAGAGCTACACGCCTTGAAAGACGACGAGTTTCTCGAGGAGCGCAGCCAACACCAAATATTGCCTTAATAGATGAACTTGATGAAAACGTTGCACCCTTAGACTACATAGGTCATTTAAACGAGGAATGTGTATTCTGCAAAGCAAAATATTTCAGTAAAGAGAAAACTACTACGGGAATGTATAATACATGCTGCAATGGTGGCCAAGTAAGACTATCAAATTTTGTTGCAAATGATGAAATAAATAAACTTTTGAAAGGCGAAGACCCAGATTCTAAACATTTTTTAGAAAACATACGATCATACAATAGTGCATTTGCATTTGCATCTGTTGGAGCTCAAATAAGCTTGCCTCCTGGAAATGGTCCATTTTGTTTCAGAATTCATGGACAGATTCATTATTTAACTGGAACATTGCATCCATTGCAAGCAGGAGAACCAAGATCATATTCTCAGTTATATATTCTTGATGCTGATGAAGCTAACAATCAGAGAATGAATGAACCAGCCAATAGGGCATGTCACCGCCATATTATGGCGAAATTATCTGAAATAATGAAGACAAATAAATTTGCCGAAGCCTATGAAATGCTATACGAAGTCGAGAAAAGACATATTGATATTGCCAGGGATGAAGGTCGCGAACCTATTAATGTTTCGATGTCAATTAAACAAAACCGAGGAACTGATAATCGAAGATATAATGTGCAAGCATGTAATGAGGTTGCTGTAGTATTTAGCAGCGCTGATGGAGAACCACCACTTGAACGTGATTTGAGAATACATTTGAGACCGCAAGGTCAAAAAGTACATAAAACGCTAAAGAATCTGGATTGTGAACAAGAATCTTGATTCACTAACTTATCCACTTCTGTATCCCAATGGAGAGCAAGGATGGAGTGACGATTTGGCATTATATAAGCCAAATAATGTTAATCCAAACTCAAGAAAACGAGTTACATTAAAAATGTATTACGCTTATCTATTTTCAGTACGTGATGAATTCAGTCCTATCTTAAGTGCAGGAAAACTTACCCAACAATATTTTGTCGATGCGTATGTTAAGGCAGAAGCGAATGACCTTAATTGGGTTCGCCAAAATCAGAAAAAGATAACAGCAGAAACATATGAAAATTTAGTCAGTCACATTGGATCCGTGGCAGAAGAAGAAGGTTTGAATCCAGGAAAACAAGTAATTCTTCCCTCATCCTTTCAAGGGAGTGCAAGAAACATGAATCAAAATTACCAAGATGCTATGGCAATTGTCAGTAAATTTGGAAAGCCAGACTTATTCATAACAATGACCTGCAATCCCAAGTGGGTTGAAATAACTGAAAATTTGAGACCTAACGAGAGATCAGAAAATCGGCCCGATTTGGTAGCCAGAGTTTTCAATATGAAATTAAAAGAATTACTTCAGGATCTGAAAAAGAAAAATATATTTGGACAAGTAATTGCTATGGTTCATGTTATCGAATTCCAAAAAAGAGGGCTACCACATGCTCACATGTTAATTATTCTTCGGAATGAAGATAAACCTCACACAGTATCGCTCATTGATAAAATTGTCAGTGCTGAAATTCCAAACAAAGAAACTCATCCTCGATTATTTGAGGTAGTTACAAAAAACATGATTCATGGACCTTGCAATACTCCAAACTCAAGATCCCCTTGCTTAGAAGGAGGGAAATGCAGAAAAGGGTTTCCAAAGCCATTCCAGAATGAGACAGTTGCAAGCAATAATGGATATCCTTTGTACATGAGACGCCAAAGGCAAGCGGTAAAGACGAACAACAATGTAGAGGTTGAGAATAGTTGGGTAGTCCCATATAACCCTTTTCTGAGTTTGAAATATAACTGTCATATAAACGTTGAAGTTTGCGCCTCGATAAAAAGTGTCAAGTATTTATACAAATATGCATACAAAGGTCATGATTGTGCAAGTATTGAATTGCAAACTAATAAATCAGACGAGTTGAAGAAACATGTCGACACGAGATATGTCAGCCCACCTGAAGCAGCTTGGAGAATTTTTAAATTCTCAATGCATGAGCAGACTCATTCTATAAATGTTTTAGCAGTTCATTTACCTGACCAGCAAAATGTAAACTTTCAACCAGAAAACATTGAAAGTGCAATTGAAAGAGCAGGAAATAAAGAATCAACTTTAATGGCTTGGTTTACACTAAACAATGTGGATGCTACCGCGAGACAATATAAATATACTGAAATTCCAGAACACTTTATGTTTAATAAAGCCCAAGGCAAGTGGACAACCCGAAAGCAGGGATTCGGATCTACAATTGGACGAATGCATGGAGCAAGTGTGCGAGATGCTGAACGATACTTTTTGAGATTGCTGTTGTTGCACGTGAGAGGTGCAAAGGGTTATCATGATCTGAGAAGGTATAATGAAATTGAATATCCAACGTTTTACGAGGCAGCACAAGCCAGAGGCTTAGTGGAAAATGAGAATGCTTGGGATGACGCATTAACTGAAGCAAGCTTAGCTAAATTACCTAAGCAGCTAAGGGAACTTTTTGCATACAGTTGCATATTTGGTATGTCCCCAAATGTTTCAAACTTATGGAATAAGCACAAAGATAACTTGGTTGAAGATTTTGCTCTTAAACACAAGCATCCAGCAATTGACCAGTGTCAAATATACGAATCATACGCACTACGAGATATAGCGGATATACTAATTACCCAGGGTAAAAGGTGTTCTGATTATGGTCTCAGAAATCCACCACGAGATTTACCTTCGGATTTGAATACTCTCGAAGAAATCGAAAAAGAACGAACAGAGGGTGAACAATTGAGATTGACTCTCAACAATGAGCAGCAAATTGCATTTGATTCTATCATTGAAGCAATGAATTCTAAAAATCATGCTTCTAAAGCATTTTTTCTTGACGGTCCAGGGGGCAGTGGAAAAACTCATCTGTATAAAACTCTCTTGAGTGTTACAAGAGGTCAAGGGAAAACTGCTTTGCCTGTTGCTTCCACTGGAATTGCAGCAAATTTATTAAGAGGCGGTAGAACATCCCATTCTCAATATAAACTTCCATTAAAAATTAACGAGGTCTCAATATCCGGAGTTAAAGTGACCTCAGATGAAGCAAAAATGATTAAAGCATCCAAAATCCTCATTTGGGACGAAGCACAATGGCACATGCACATGCGTTAAATTGTGTGGACCGTCTTCTTCAGGAGATAATGGGTAATGACATTCCCTTTGGAGGCAAGGTCTTACTACTAGGAGGTGATTTTAGACAAACCCTTCCTATAATACCTCATGCAGATGGACCAGCTATTGTTCAAGGTAGCATAAAGTTTAGCCATTTATGGGAAAAAATTAAAACCTTAAAATTGAGCAACAATGTTAGATCTGCTGACCCGGCTTATAGTGAATGGTTAATTAAACTTGGCAATGGTGAATTAACTAATGATGATGGTTTGGATGAAAATATGATCTGCATCCCAGAAGATATGCTATCATCGGATAATATTGTATGGGATTTATTCGGTGATTCTTTGAATGCCACAAGTGTTGAAGCATTTATAAAAACGGCAATTTTATGTCCAACGAATAATGACGTAGACAAAATAAACGATCAGATTTTGAAAATTTTGGAAGGAGAATCCAAAACATACTTGAGTTGCGACTCATTGATGTCTGAACAAGCTGAAGATCACAATGATTATAATATGGAATTTTTAAACAGCTTAAGCCCTTCCGGGTTGCCACCACATGAATTAAGTTTAAAAAAAGGTGCAATTGTGATGTTATTAAGGAACCTGAATACCAAGAGGGGACTTTGCAATGGGACAAGATTGATCATCACCGATTTACTGGCTAACGTAGTGATGGCAACAGTCTTATCTGGATCTGCAGAAGGCGAGAAGGTATTTATTCCTCGGATAGATTTAGACACAGACTCTGATCTTCCGTTTAAACTTAAACGAAGACAGTTTCCAATTAAACTTGCATTTGCAATGACAATCAATAAATCCCAGGGTCAAACGCTTGATAAAGTTGGAATATATTTACAAACACCTATATTCGGTCATGGAATACGTGGCATTTTCGAGAGTTAGGCGTGGGTGCGACGTCAAAGTATTCGTGGCAAATACTTTAGAACATGGAAAACTAATTCCAGGATCTGAAAAGGTATTCACAAGAAATATTGTGTACAAGGATATCTTAACAAGGTAATGCGATAAAATTCCAATCGAGAACAAAATGTAATAAATGCGGTGGACGATGATGCAAAAAAATATTGAGCCCACTGCAAAAAATACATACATAGTTATTCTGTTAAAATGGGCCTATTGCTAAATATTTAATATCTCAAAATCTAATGCAAGGATTTTTCTGATTGTAGCCTTATTTTGTAGAGTAATTCGTAGAGAAAATATTCCAGCTAAACTTGGAACCGCCCTACTCACGGTTCACGAGGAATAAAATTCAAAAGATTTGCCAATATGTAACATGGGCCTATCACTAAATATTTAATATCTCAAAATCTACTGAAAGGATTTTTCTGATTGTAGCCTTATTTTTTAGAGTAACTATTAGGGAAAATATTCCAACTAAATTTGGAACGGCGCTACCCATGGTTCACGTGGAATAAAATTCAAAAGATTGGTCAATTTGTAAAATGGACCTATTACTACATATTCAATATGTCGGAGTCTAATGGATAGATTTTTCTGATTGTTGTCTTATTACTTAGACGAAGTATTGTAGATAATATTCACATATGGGCGATGATCCAAAAAAAGTATTAAGCCCACTGCAAAAAATACATACATATTTTCCTATTTATTATAATTGATACCCTGATATGGTTTAAATTCTAGGCCCGTTATAACGGGCTTTAATTACTAGTCTATTATAAAGTGTACGTCAGATTTCTTGCACTAACCTGATTCTCTAAAATTGCGTGTTTGAATTTTCTCGGGTCTACTAGCTTGTGTCCTTGAAGGTTGAATAGAAGGAGACGTCGTCGGGATATTCACAATCTTTTCCCCTGTGAGTGTCGCAACGGCTGAAGAAGTGCCCGCCCCACCTAATCATACACATATTAGTTAGGTTAAAAATTTTAACATTCAAGTGGTAATATATGTATTTCGTACCCATCGATTGGCTATTGAAATTATTTGATCCGAACGCTGACTCCAATGTGACCTACAATTGGCCCTCAATTAAAAATAGACTATGTATATAGCAAAATAATAAAGTACCAATCCTAATTTCGGGTAATCCAAGTCCAGATCCACATCCCTAATTTTTGCACCTCCACTTGCTGAATTACTCTCCGATATTCGGCGAACCGCTCGCCTACCTTGTGGGGGCGCCTCATCCTCGGTGGTCGTGACCTTCCCTCTCTCCAACCGATTCAATTTCTTTTGGGCCTCGTCATAAGTATCTGAAAAATTAATTGAATTAGTCAAGTCTGACCTCCTCTGATCACATTCTGTAGAATTTTACGTCATACTAAATACGGACGAAAACTGTACTTACCATAACTCTTCTCAATTTTAATAGCATACAACAACCACGTGGTGGAATTAGGATTTTCACCGTGGACTATTGATCTCTTCAATTTTTGTGAATTTTTCCAATAGGAAGGCCAATAGGTGTAAAGCGTATTTTCAATATTTTTTATCCAAGACTTTCTCACAGTTCCAACGGTCTTGTCGTGTTCGAATTCTACAACGACAAAACTCTACGAGTTTGATTCCTCAGAGGACGACATTTTGTTATCAAATTAGTTAATGAAGGAGAGGAAAAAGAACAAAATTTCCAGTATATGGGAGTAGAACACACTTGCGAAGAATTGAGTGTGTAGGAAAGTCCCTCGTTGCCGATGAAAGAGTAACAGTCCGCGTTCCCACTATGTTTGAATCTTCCGGGTTATTGTAAAAAGGCTCTGTTCCTCGTAACACTTTACCCTTGCAATACACCTCACCGTTATTGTTTAGAGTAAATGATAGGATTTGTATGATTTCTCCCGATTTTAACTCACATACATTATTCCCTATTGTCAGTTTTAATGTAAACTTGTCACTGTAAAGTTCTGTTTTAGAATTATTTAAAATTTCTTCTCGATGATTAAATGAAACTGTGGGACGTATAATATTATTTCTCTCCGTTATTCTGTTGTAGGCTTGTTCAAGTGTTCTATTTTTTCCTTTCAGTAGAGATGTTACGTAACCCAAATGGTCTTCAAATTTAAAAGCACTAAATTTATCAAGTGGTCCTAGCCGGAGGGAATCTTCAGCCAGGTGAACGAGTCCGTGAACGTTGTAGGATAAATTTTCTTCGCCGTACAATTTACCAAAATTGCTCACAAATGCTACAAGTAATGAAGATGCGTACGAGTTTAAATTTTTGTAATTAATTTTGCAACATAAAATTCTAATTGCGAGGTGGAGACATATAAAATGATCATAGTATTTTTGTGGCAGAACGAGCTTTAATGCGATGGGGCCGGAATATAGTAGAAATTGCCTCAATTCGGTTGCTTTCCACCTTCTAATTTCTTCAATGGGACGAGGTTTTCTGGCGAATTCACATGGAATAAAGGGCTTCAAAATAATTAAATTTCTAGTAATTTGTAGTTTTTCACGGCATGAAAGGCGGAACTTGTTTATATTCCCACTCATCCACAATAAAATCAACTTTTTCACTACACCAATGCAAACCAGATGCATATATTCGAAGGGCGTTTGTTTGACAAGGTCGAAATTAAGCTTTTCAAGTTCACTTGGGGCATGGTGGTGATCTTCATCTAGTTTATCTCGGAAACTTTGATCCGTCCTAAGGGAACAATTAACTTGTGGAAATGTAACTCTGTTTTTTATGTATTCACCTTCTTGAGTACATTTACCACAGCCAAAATATCCTGAATGTCCTTTGATTGCACGAGCCGGTGCATCACAGATGAAGGAATCGATATTAATTTTAAACTTTTTATTATTAATATTTACTCCATTGTCACATAATGTTTTAAGTTCTGTGACAAATCTTTGAAGAAAATCCGAAGATAATTTTGGTTTTTCATTCCCCTCATAAATGCCAATCTCAATAATTTTATCAAATTCTAAAATATAGCACAAAATTGGCCAGAACTGTTTCCCTGAACTTTTGGATATAGGAACTCCGTCAATGCTGAATTGAAGATTTAATTCATCTACATCTACATTTAATGGCAAAACGTTTTTAATTTGATTTAAGAGTCCAATATGACAATACCGTCCTGGTGTAACTTCATATAAGGGTATTATCCGAGGAGTTTTTACAAGTGATTGAGCGTCTAATGGTAAGGTGGAGAAACAATCGTGTTTTTTAAGGATTTTAAGAAGTTTTGAGACAGAGGAGTGGGGAATTTTATCGTCAACACACCACTTTTTTAAATCACTAACGATTGAAGGAATATCTTGATTTATTTGCACATTGATGGATGTTGTTGGTTCTTTTTTTGCACTGTAATTAAAATAATACTTTGTTAGGCTGGAGTTTGGAAAGTTGTAAATACTTGAATATTCGCCACCATAACCAGTTTCTTTCACATTCGCAATTCTTGGACTATGTGATAAAGTATTATTCAATAGACTAAACGTGTTAACTAGTCGAGCCTGTGTTGCTCTTTGAATTTTTTTTAAAAGATTTTCTTTTAATCATTTTCGCTATAAAAATTCACAAACTGATATTAAAGCTGGCTCCCAAACGAGCGCACGATTTAACGCTCGTCTGATGAGCACCTTTCAGGTACGTTCCGGTAAGGTCTTGTTTCCTTTGGTTCTTTGTAAGCGTATCCAGAACGTACCCGTTTGGTACTTTTGGTCTAGCACCAATTTGGGACTTTTGACCCCCAAACCGGAACGTACCCAGTACATTTAGGTTTCGTGGGTTGGTCGTCCACCGATCGGACATTTAGCGGCGTGTTGCGCAGCCGGACAACAAATATTTTTAAGCTCTTAGAACTTAGCATTTCGAGCCTTGGCGGTATGAAAAGGTTGATAGCGGCGTTGCACAGCGGCAGCATCGAGCCCTTTTGCATAACTGTAGGGGATAATCTCTGAACAATATCGAAATTTCTGAAAAGTTTTTAATTTCATGGTAATTTCCTAAAATTATTTTTGTGTTCTTTACAAAAACGGGTTACCGGAAACTCTTTCACTAATCAGAAATCCTAAAATCAGGCAAATGAATAACTGCATAATTTTTTGATTGAAGCCGATCTTTAGTACGAAATTGTTTAATAGTTTTTATTTCAAATTACGATCTTGTTGGAATTCGAGACAAGTATGATGTTCTGCTAACCAGGTAAACTAGTATTATATGTATAGGAATTTTCGTATACGTAAATATTTTATCTTAGCTGTTAAACACTGCCACAGAGTAATTTCAATCTAGTGGAGCATTATCGACATAAATATGTTAATACCAATTATACGGATATAGGAAAATATGATAACGAAACTCATTGAATTTATAATTGCCAATTGAACCAAGTACAGAAAAAAGTGATTTGTGGGCTGACCGGAATCGAACCGGCAACTTTTCGTTCTCCAGACTACCGAGTTACCACTTTCCCCACAACGCCCTTAGAATGGCATTGCACCTCTTTCCTGTACTTAAGTGATGCATATTTTTAAAATCAGGAGGGATATTCATCCTCTTCACCCTGCTTTTATGCATCGTATCGAAATTTACAAGAGGAACGTTGAGGGCGTTGTGGGGAAAGTGGTAACTCGGTAGTCTGGAGAAAGAAAAGTTGCCGGTTCCATTCCGGTCAGCCCACACATCACTTTTTTCTGTACTTGGTTCAATTGGCAATTCTAAATTCAATGGGTTTCATTCTCATATTTTCCTATATTAATTCCCTCATTACCGCAATTTTCAAATATCAATGTTTACATAAACACCAGCGGTTCCTCTTGTAAATTTCGATACGTGGCCGTGGGGTCATACCACTATTTCAAGTTCCAAAAAAAGTTAAGGTGAACGCAGACTGGTATATCAACAAAGTTTTAAAGCCATTAGTGAACACTAATCTCCCTCGTATTTATGGTAATGATCTTAACAA